CTAGGCGCACGGGCTTCAGTAGTTGTGGCAGTGGGCTCAGTAGTTGCGGCTTGCGGGCTCTAGAGCGCAGGCTCAGTAGTTGTGGGCTTAGTTGCTCCGCAGCATGTGGGATCTTCCCAGATCAGGGCTTGAACCCGTGTCCCCTGCATTGGCAGGCAGATTCTTAACCACTGTGCCACAAGGGAAGTCCCCCACCCCCACCCCACCGCCCTCATTCTTCAAATACACCTACAGGCTGAAGAGGAAGGGCCTTCATTAAGTCAAGCAAGGGTCAAGTTCATGTTTCCAAAACCCAAATCTCAATGTCCTCCTTGTGCTGCACACAGGCCCCCCGCTGCGTCCCTGCCCCACCCCACCCCTGGCCTCCCCACCTGCCCTTCACTCTGCCTGGGGGGCCCTCCTACTCATCTCTGCCCCGCCTTGAGACTCAGCAGGCACCTCACATCCCTCCTGGGAACGCCTCCCTGACTGCCCACCCCTCACCCTGCACCCTCCACGTCCCCAGGAGGATGCTGGGTTTCCCACCTCCCCATCAGGCCTGAGTCTGTGTCCACAGTCACCTGCATGGGCCACAAGCAAGGGATGCTCAGGAAACACGTCTCCAGTTGGGGATGGGTGGCAGGCTGCCCCACAGCCACCGCCTCCAGCTCTCACGGTGGCCTCAGACCCTGCAGTGGCTCCCAGGGCCCTGAGGGGTCTGGACAGAGCCCCCACGGCCCCGGCAGCTCCACCCCCAGCCTCATAGCTGCTTCTCTCCCAGGTGGTCAAGCGGGTACTGGCCCAGACCAGCAGCGGGGGCTTCTGTGGGAACGACGGCTTCATGCACATGACTGTCGCCAGCCTGCCCTTCGGAGGAGTGGGTACGTGCCAGCAGAGCCACGCCCTCTTACCGTCATCTCTCACCCTGCTCCCCTCTGCAGAGTCTGAGGCGGAACCTTCCATACCTGTCTCTGCATTTACATATGTGGGTGGACCCACAGATACACAGTTTAGGGTTTTTTAAACATCACTGATTGCTAGGGCTTAGCACACGCAGGGCGGCCTTGGGCCTTCTCTTTACTCCACAGTGAGGCTACATGCTGCTCCTTTAACCCCTCCTGTGTCCCCTCTGTCCCATGCTTGGCATGTCGCACAGGAGACAGGGGCTCCTGCCGGCTCCCCCCTCCACCAAGCCCCAGCAGCCCCCAGTACCGCTGTGAAGTCCTGGCCTCTGAGGCTGGTCCCAGCAAGCCTGACGGCTGGGTGATGCGAGGCCACCACTTCCCCTCTCTGAGCCCACCTCCTCCTCAGGGGACGAGAGGGCCAGAGGCTTGCGGTCCCGCCACCTGCCTGCACCTGGCACTAGAGTAAATGACCAGCAAGTCCTGGCGGGCTGCCCTGGTGGGCCTGGACCCTCCCTGGGGAGCGGCTGGTGTCATAGGAGCACGGCAGGCTGAGATCGATGCTGTGGTGGTGGAGGTCCAGGGCTGCGCACCGCTGCCGTCCCCAGTTCTGGAACCCTCTTCCCCAGCACCCCCTCCTCAGGGAAGCGTGGGGCTCTGTCTGCAGGTGAATCTGACCCTGCTGCTCCCCTGGCAAAGCCTTCCACGGCTCCCAGGCCCTCAGACGGAGCCAGGGCTCTGACTCAGCTTCCTGAGGCCGCCCTTCCTGGTCTGGCCACGGAGTCCTGCTCCCGCCCCTGCCCCGCTTCCCTGGTTGCTGTCCCAGACACACAGAGCTCTGCCCAAGTCCTGACACACCACGGTCACCCACCTCCAAGGCTCCCTGAGTTGTCCCCGAGCCTGGGCCCCTCTTGCCCCACACATCCACTTTATCTGGTCAACTCCACATCCCTCAGGCCCCACTCTCTCAAGGAAGCCCTCCCGGATTACCCCTGATCCCACCAGGCTGGGTGCCCTGGACTTCCCACTGCCAGGTCCTTGACTGCCTCCCTACTTGGACACTGCGACTCATAACAACACAGCACTTACTGTATCTATGGGTCTGAACACTTGCTCAATCCCCGCAACTCTAGGAGGTGTGTGCCACTGTCACCCCATGTCACAGAGGAGACCAAGGCGAAATCACTTGCTTAAGGTGACATGGCTACTTCAGAGCTGGGATTCAACCCTGGGCAGCTGCCCTGGAATCCACTTTTTTTTTTTTTTTTTTACTTTCCATCTTTCCTCTCTCTTTTTTTCTAATTGAAAATGTTGTGGTTGACAGTCCGCCTGCCGATGCAGGGGACACGGGTTCGTGCCCCGGTCCGGGAAGATCCCACATGCCGCGGAGCGGCTGGGCCCGTGAGCCGTGGCCGCTGAGCCTGCGTGTCCGGAGCCTGTGTTCCGCAGCAGGAGAGGCCACAACAGTGAGAGGCCCGCGTACCGCAAAAAAAAAAAAAATGTTGATTTACAATGTTGTGTTAGTTTCAGGTGTACAGCAGTGATTCAGTTATATTTCAGTTATTTATATATACACGCTCTTCTTTTCAGATTCTTTTCCATTATAGGTTATTACAAGATATTGAATATAGTTCCCTGTGCTATATAGTAGGTCCTTGTTTATCTATTTTATATAGTGTGTGTCTGTTAATCCCAAATTCCCAATACATCCCCCAACCGCCCAGAATCCACTCTTGACCACTGTCTACCCATCGTGCCCCAGCACCTGGTGTCCCCAATATTTATTTGAGTGGGTGCTGGGGCCAGGCTCAGGGCTAAGCCCTTTACCCACAGCATCTCATGATTAGCCCACTTTACAGCTGGAGAAACCAAGGCTCGGGGGGTGAAGTAGCCCACCCAGGTCATACTGTGTGACTGGCAGAGCCCAGGTCTGTCTGACGCTCCTCGGCTGGCCACTGGGGGCCTAACTGCTGTGTTCCCTGTCACCGTACAGGCGCCAGTGGGATGGGCAGCTACCACGGCAAGTTCTCCTTCGACACCTTCTCCCACCACCGCGCCTGCCTGCTGCGCCGCCCTGGGCTGGAGAAGGTCTACGCTCTCCGCTACCCGCCCCACACTCCACGCAACCTGAGGGTGCTGCTCACAGCCATGGAGACCCGCAGCTGCAGCTGCGCCCTGCTCTGAGCCACCCTGCGCACAGGGGCTCCGAGCGTCCCTCCCAGCTCACGTCTACGAGTCCTCCGCTGCCGTGGCCACCTGAGGCTGGTGGAGACATGACCTGGGGTCCACGACACAGGAGGAAAACACCTGCCGGGGCCACGGCCCAGACCAGTGCTTGCTCTCCTCCCGCCTGGGGCTTCTCTTTTCAGGCCCTCAGCTGCCCCCTAGCCAGGATGGGCCAAGGTTTGGGAGCATCGGAAACAGTGCAGTAACCTGCCCTCCTGCTCCCACGCTGGCCACCTGTGTTCCGGGAGACGAGGGAAGATGTGGGCACCTCTCAGGACAGAAGGTGCCCTTTCTGTGGAGGGTGCAGAAGGGGTCCTGGCATCCGGTCCATGACACACTGCGGGCCTGCTGTGACCTGGGTCGTCCCTGCCCTCTCTGAGCCTGGTTCCCTATCTGCTGCACAGAGGAGGTGATTAACACCTCCTGAGATCATCATGAGGATTAAATTTTGGAGCTTAATTGCCGACTCCAGGCTCCAGGCGTCCTGTCTCCTCATTTGGGAGGGGAGAGGCTGCTTCCCTCTACTCTCTCCGCACCTCTCCCTCCAGGTCAGGTTGATGAGATGCCCACAGTAGGATCTCCCTTCTCTTCACCTCGGGCCTCTTAGGAGCTCTGAACTAGCTCCTTTTCCCCAAGTAGCTGGCCCTGGGCACCTTCCCCTCATCATGTCCCACACTGGACTCCTCCCCTTCCCTCTCCTGCTCATCCTCCTGGGCCCGCATGCCGTGGAGTGATCCCCCATCCACTCAGCCACAAAGCCAGACTCCTCGGCTAGACACTCCCTTCTCACCTCCCAAGTCCCATCTTTGAGTAATTCTTGATGATTCTATAAAATACCGCAGACTTCCCCAATCCACACACTAATCGCTGTGCCCCGGGCCATCCATCACCTACCCTCTTTCGCCGGGGCCCAGCCCTTCTCCTCAGAGATCTTCCCAAAGCCCACTGGACCATACTAGCCCTCAGCCTGAACCCCTTCAGTGGTTCCCCTGGCTCACAAGTCTGGACCCATAACAATCCTTGGGAGGCTCTGCACAGCCCTGTACACGCTCCCCCCCACACCCCCCACCGCCAACCCATCCTTGCCCTCTTCTAACGCACTGGATGTGTCCTCCTTCTCTGGTGGACCTCCGCACAGAAGCTGGGCGTGCTCTCTGGCCCTTCTGGTTCTGCTCGACTCCTCCTTGCGCTCTGCTTGGACATCATCTCCTCCAGGAAGCCCTCCCTGACCACCTTCCACTGCCCCCAACACACAGGCGGCCTCAGGGGCTTTCTCAGTGTCCGCAGCCTCCCGGGTCCCTCTGCCACACAATTCACTGGGAGGAAACACAGGTTTGGGGGCTGTTGAGGGACGGGGCTCCCGGGTCATACAGATCCAGGAGTGGCTCAGGCGGCCGCACTTCGCAGATCTAAGGCTTAGGCCAAGTTACTACACAAGTCCGTGCCTCAGTTTCCCCATCTGTAAAGCGAAAATAATCGTTCCTCCCCACACGGCTGCCGGGAGGATTAAATGAAGACGCCAGGATGAAGGTTTAGCATAGAGTAGGCATGGCTCCCGCGAGGAATCACCACAGGCTACGATTCTCATCACCGTTATCATACACGCCCCGCTGAGGCCGAGAGGGTGTCCTCCAGCCCAGGGCGCCGGGTCTGGCAGGAGCAGCAACCTTAAACCACGCCTCGGATGTCCCGCCTCCAAGAGCTCGGGAGTCCCGGCTCACTAGTTTCTCGCACCCAACCCGGCGGCGCTCTACACCACTTCAAGCCCCTGCCTGCTCCCCTAGCCAATCGGAGAAAAGACTTTTTCGATCCCGCCTCTTTCGGCTGCGCCACCAGCCAATCAGACCACACCACGAAGAGTCCACGCCCAATGGCAGCATCCCAGGATGTAGGCTCCGCCTCTCGACGGACAGGCCCCTCGGCCCTGGAAGGAGAGGCAGCGATTCAAGGTGGGTGTTCGGGGCTCAGGTGTTAAGGCCCAGCCTGGGCAGCGCGGCATCGGGGTCGAGTGTGCGGCCCCCGTTGGCTCCGCCGGCTCCGCGCCCGGGCTTTATCTCGGCCCGCTCAGAACCCGCGGCCTCTGTGTCCTTGAGCGTGCAGCGGGCGGGAAACCGGCACCGTCAGGGCGCATATGCACCTCCTGCGCCCGTCGGGTCAGAGGTCATGAGGAAGGGCGGGGAAGGAGCCGGGTTGGGTGCCTGGCACTGAAGTCAGCGGTCAAAAGAAATGGTCCCGCTAGAGGTCACAGGTCACGAGAGGGGCACTTTTGGCCTCGGCTAAGTGCCAGGCTCTGGGCTAAACCCTTGGCATCTTCGAGCCTCCTCCATTCTCGTGACCTCCCATTTCACAAGTGAGAAAACCCAAGGTCACTTGGCAGGCTGGGAGACAGTTCCAGAAGGACCTTGATGCTGGGGAGAGGAATTTGATCTTGAGGGTTATTTAAGCCCTTAAAAGGTTCATTAGGGGAGGGCTGGGGGTGTAAAGGGAGGGGTCTGGCCTGGGTTCACATCCTGGTCCCACCCCCTCAGTGTGTGACTTTAGGCAAGTCACTTAACACGACTGAGCTGTGGCTTCTCATCTGTGCCTCCCTCTGAGGTCATCATGTGGACAAAGTGACAGTGCGTGTGACCCCTAGCACAGTGCCTGGCACGGTGAGCTCAGAATAAACGCCGGTGGCAGGTGGCAGTGTTAACCTGGGTCAGGTTGGAGGCCGGGAGGGGCTGCACCTGGGAACAGGAAGCCCGTCTGTGCCTCTGACAGGAATGGGGGTGAGCAGGGACAAGCTGACACAGTGGCACTGGGGTCAAGGGTCAAGGCTCCTGCAATGCTAGGGTTCCCGGGGGTGGGGGTGGGGAACCATGCCTGTCTGAGACCCACCTATGCCTCACTGTCTTCTTGCCCACAGATGCGCTGCCTGACCACGCCCATGCTGCTTCGGGCCCTGGCCCAGGCCGCACGTGCAGGTAGGACCAAGGGAGCCTTTCCTGGGTGTGAGGGGCCCAGCCTCCTAGCATGAGGTCGCATCTGCACAGCGTAACCCCTATCCTTGCAGGGCATCCCAGTGGCCGGAGCCTCCACAGAAGCACAGCGGCAGCCACCTACAGTGAGTCCCGGGGCGCCGCAAGCCTCAGGCTTTCTGATCATCGTCCTGCCAGAGGCAGGGGAGAAGGCCTGTGTTCTGGTCCTGGCTTTGCTGGGGGCTCGCCCTCTCGGAGCCTCAGTTTCCACTCTGTATAAAGAGGATGGTGATCAAGATTGAATATGATTCTTGGGGGCCGGGTCTGTCATTGCAGGGGGTGGAGGGCCTTCCATGTGGCTACACCGTGTGATCTCAGACCTTCCCCGTGTAGGACAAGGAGGGAGCTGCCAGGTGTGAGCCCTGGGAGCTGTGCCTCTTCATCAGGACCCCAGTACCCAAGCCCCTTCCAACCCCCATCAGCTCCTGGCTTGGACGGCCACACAGGCACAGGGAGAAGCTGGCGAGGGCTGCCCAGGGCCTGAGGCTGGCCTCGAGGGTGCTCACTGAGGCGGGGGAGGTTTGGTGAATGAACAAACCCCTGGGGGGCCCAGCTGTTGCACCTAGAAGGAGGCCAGGCCTCGTCTCCCTGAGCTGGAGTCCTTGGGGAGGGCCTGTGTGAGGCCTGCTGCCACGGCCTCTCTGCCCTCCTCCCCTGCAGAATATGTGAACATGCGGGAGCCCTCAATGGACATGAAGTCGGTGACCGACCGGGCAGCTCAGACCCTGCTGTGGACCGAGCTCGTCCGAGGTGGGCCCTGGGGGGAGGGGGGAGGCCGGCTGGTCGGGGGCACAGATGTGTTAGGGAGGAGGGCCCCCTCCCACCGTGCCTGTGCCGCCCCCAGGCCTGGGCATGACCCTGAGCTACCTGTTCCGAGAGCCAGCCACCATCAACTACCCATTTGAGAAGGGCCCACTGAGCCCGCGCTTCCGTGGCGAGCATGCGCTGCGCCGGTACCCGTCCGGGGAGGAGCGCTGCATCGCCTGCAAGCTCTGCGAGGCCGTCTGCCCAGCCCAGGTGAGCCCCTGACCCCAACTGACCGCCCCCCGGCCCCTGCCGCTGGGAGAGGGAGGCCACAGCCTGCTGCAGAGAGAGTGAAGCGGGCAGCCCTGGGCCCGAACTCTGGGCCCCCTGCCGGGTGGGTGTCCCCAGAAAGTCCCTTTCCCGATCTGAGCCTCTTCCCCCCCGTGAATGGGAGCCGACTCAGAGGCAGTGAGTCAGGGGAGGGAAACTTCCAGCCCTGAGCAGGCCACGTGACACACGTGGGTCCTGCCCTTGGGGGTCTGGTCGGGGGCGTGAAACCCAGGCCTCGAGCCACGAGGCGGCACCTGAGGGTCTCCACTTTTACCCGGATGCAGCAGCCGTTTCAGGAGCACTGCCTGTGTGCCTGCCACAGGACCGGACCCAGGGACACGTGTGCCACAGCCGGGGCCCTCACTGCCCCCGGTCGCTGCTCCTTTGAGCCCCTGGCATCTGGTTCTGTCGGAGGGTCCCACACGGACTGTTAGTGCAGAAACAGACACACAGCTGGGGCTCTTGGGCTGGCGGATGTGCCCGGCAGGAGCCCAGCAGGCTCAGGGGTCCTCACGGTCCACACAGCGACCCCCTCCCAGCGGCCGCTCCAGGCCACATCTCTGTGACCCCGGATGGCTGCTGTCCACGACCTGCCTCATTTCCTGGACCACTCCCAGGTCCTGCAGGCCACGGGTTGTGGCCTTGCTGTCCCCAGTCTAGCCACCGACCTGGAGCACGTAGGAGAGCCCCGAAAAAATAATAACAGTGGTGGCATCCAGACAGTGAGTGCCAGCTGTGGACCAGGCACTGAGCCAAACTCATGACTCATCTCTGCAACAACTCTAGGAGGTAGAGATTATTATCCCCATTTTTATAGATGAGGAAACGGAGGCACAAAGAGATGAGGCTAATAGCCAAAGGTCCCACTATGAGTGGTGGACATTACACTCCTGGGGACATCTGAGGGCCTTTGCCACATCCCTTTGAAGGTCCTCCCAGCTGTGGGAGGCCCCAGGCCACCCCTTCCCCCAGCTGGTGCAAGTGTGCACCCAGGAAGTGAGAGTTAAGGACCTGTGTTTGAGTCTGGGCTCTGCCCCTCACTTACTGTGTGGCTTTGGGAAACCCCTCAACCTCTCTGAGCCTCAGTTTTCTCATCCATTAAATGGGGATAACTAGATGTAATTGGGAAGGTTGTTCAACATGCAACCGACAGTAATGGGGCATTTTTTTACCGGGTGGGACCCCTTGGGTCTGCAGGTGCTATGGTGAACAAGGCAGGCAACGGCCCTCTCCTTGTGGGACTCACGTTCTGAGGCAGGAGGTGCTGGCCATTAACAAACAAGAGAATGTCAGCTAGGGCAAGCGCTCAGAGGCCGACGTCACAGCTGCGCCGGGCGGCCTGTTAGGAGAGGGGTCAGGAAAGGTACACGCGGGCCGAGAGTGGATGACAGAGGGTCCGCTCTGTAGGCCCCGGGGGGCCAGTCCCGCAGGAGTGGGAATGAGCCATGGCGGGGGCTGGATCCTGTGCCTAGGGCCAGCGTGGCTGGCAGGTGACAGTACCCTGTGCCACCCCCCAGGCCATCACCATTGAGGCTGAGCCTCGGGCCGATGGCAGCCGCCGGACCACACGTTACGACATCGACATGACCAAGTGTATCTACTGCGGCTTCTGCCAGGAGGCCTGCCCTGTGGACGCCATCGTTGAGGTGAGCAGGCCCCGCAGCGGGGGAGGCCGGGGCGGAAGCTCCTCGGAGGGGCCTGACGTGGCTGCGCCTGCTCCCCCGCTCGCAGGGCCCCAACTTCGAGTTCTCCACGGAGACGCACGAGGAGCTGCTCTACAACAAGGAGAAGCTGCTCAACAACGGGGACAAGTGGGAGGCCGAGATCGCCGCCAACATCCAGGCTGACTACCTCTACCGGTGACCGGCCCACCGGCTGGCCCGAGGTCCCCTTCTGCCCAATAAAAGAGCTCTGACCTCCCCACCGCCTCTGTCATCAGTCCGCCGTCCAGGCCGAGACCGTCTGCGGCCTGACCACGGCCTGTGGCTTCCTCCATTGGACCAGGTCCTCGGACAGAGTCGCCCTCCTGTGCGACTCTGTGGGACCTGCCAGGCCCTCCCCGTGGCTGGGCCCGGGCCCGCGGCAGTGTGTGGCCCACACATCTTCCTGGGCATGTTCCCCAAGGCTCCGCAGGCTGGAGGTCGGCCCAGGTCCACTGTTCCCATAATCCTGTGTGCCCAAGGGGTGGGGCTGGGGCCTGTCCTCTCCTGAGGGCCACCCACAGCTGAGACCCTAAGGACCTAGAGCCTCTCGCAAGGCCGCGGGCAGAAATACATCAAGAGCAGGAACTTGGAAAGGCCAGAGCATCCTTGCTGGGAGGCAGGGGAAGGCTGCTCTGGCGGGGGGGTGACAGTCACGAGGGGGTGACCCAGGCCCTGCTGCCTGTGAGCTGGCTCTGCCTCTCCTCCAGCCACATCCGCTTTTCTCCCCAGCTTCCCCAGACCAGGCTGCTGGCATGGCTTCTGCCGCTCAGGACTTCCTGCTTTGCAGTCCCAGCCAAGTGACATGGTTCCTTCTGGGGCCACACGCAAGCCCAGTGGCAGCAGAGTAGCCAGAAACAGCCCCCTATAACTTGGTGCTAAGAGGTGTGAGAGGATTTCAATTCATTCTCAGCAATGAGGAAACTGGCTCAGAGGGGCGAAGTGTCTTGCTCAGGATCACACAGCACACATCTGATGAGAAAACTAATTCGGGCCTGAGAGATCTCGGAGTTCCCTTTCTCCATTATTTCCAAAAGTGCTTTTTACAAAACACTGATCTCCCAAGATGCTTCTTGGAAGGGTGTTCTAGGGACCAGTAAGTGTGGGAAATGCCCCAAGTGCCTCTCCCCTCTGGGACAGGCACTGCATGACAGCACATTCAAGGCTCTGAGAAGGCCTGCAGCAAAGAAACCCAGATTACCCAGCTCATTACCAGGAAGCCCCTTTTCTCAGATCCCCTGCTGACACCTGGACCTACTTACCAGGCCAGGATGGGCCATCTCCTGATGCAGAAGTGGCCCAGGACTTGTGTGGGCCCCACCACTGGCCAAGGTTTTGGGGTCCTTTGAACCCACAAAATGGCACAGAGGTGAGAAGTGCAGGACCAGGAAGGAAGACTTGAGCCCGGGGAGTGTCCACGAGTCCAGCACCACTAGTCCTGCTGGCTGCTGGGGGCAGGAGCTCTCCGAAAACAAGGCCAGTTGTAAGAGGCAGGCTTGAAAATCCTACATCGCCTCTAATTTTGCTTTTCCCACACATAACCAGCACTAGATGCTTGACATGGAGCTTCTATCTGTACGCAGGTAAATAGAATACTTTCATTTAAAGTAGATGAGTCTAGGGATTTCCCTGGTGGTCCAGTGGTTAAGACTCCACACTTCCAGTGCAGGGGCTGTGGGTTCGATCCCTGGTTGGGGAACTAAGATTGCCCATGCCATGCAGCACAGCCAAAAAAAAATAAAATAAAATGGATGAGTGTATCCAGCTCCTGACTTGATTCTCTCCCTTACTGCTGGGTCAGAGTGCAGCTCTAACGCCATTTTGTAACATGATAGAGTTCCAGTTTGCCCTGAACAGGAAGTATTGACCCGAGGCCCCCACTGGTACTCAGTTTGGTTGTGTCGAGGTTACTCCTTGAAAGTAGCCCCTCAGTGCCCCAGAAAGTGTCTCCCACTTTGCTGAAGACACTAGCCTTGGCTGTGACTCAGTTGCCAGCGCCCAGCTCTGGGGCTCCGTTTGCCCACCCTCCCCCCACCTCTCACAGGCCCTTGCCCTGAGGGGCCCCAGCGGGTGCAGGCTTGGCCTGTCCAAAGTGCAGGCAGCTGGACAGTCGTGAGCCCCAGGTTGTGGGTGCTGCGACAGGACAAACTGCACGGAGCTCAGTAGCAGCAAGGTCATGGGGACACATCCAGCCACAGGAGGAGTGACAGCCAGGGCAGAGCATTGCCCAGTGCCTGCTGGGTGCGGGTCCCAGGCCCTGGCCCTTGGTGTCCTGCTGCCATTGAGGAAAGAGGCCCCAGAGAAGGGCAGCCACCCGCCCAAAGGCCCAGACCACTGGACCTGGAGTCCAAGGTGGTGGTCAGAAGCAGGAAGCTATAAGGACCTGTGTAATTGCGTGCGGCCTCACGCAGGGGGGAGGGGGTCCTAGAGGTGGAGACACGTAGGTGTTGGGCCCCAGGCCTGAGCGTATTGGGGTCTAATCAGCCCAGTGAGCCCTCTAGATGGTGGAGAGCCCACCCTGTAGCCCCGGAGCTGGGCCTAGGCTGGGCATCTCCCCACATCCCGGCCACGTAGATGTGCGCGGTTGGTGCTGGTCAGTGTCTGCTCCAGCCTCCGGGCCTCCTCGCCCGTATTAGGCGGCCCACAGCTCCGAATGGTCTCCCAGCCTGGATCGAGGAAGCGAGGCCGCCAGGCAATCCCAGCCCAGGGCCTGCCTCCGACCCGCGCTCCAGCTCCCAGGACTCCGGGTGGGGGTTCGGGGCGGGCCAGGGGCGGAGCTTCCCTGGCTCCGCCCCTCCCGGCCCCGCCCGCCGCGGAAAGTGAGTTGCGTGGGCGCCGCGGCGGGGATCTCAGAGCTGGGAGTGCAGAGCTGCGCAGAGCAGCGCCGCGTGCAGCCGACCCGGGGGTAAGTGCCCCAGCAGGGGGCTGCAGAGCCCCCAGTTCTGCCTACCACCCTCGCTTCCCACTGCCCTGGGAAGCGGGGGGTGTCGTGGCGCCCCAACCCAGCTGGGTCAGTAGAGGCAGCTCAATCGTCCGGCCCGCGGCTGTCAGCCGTTGCTGGGGGCCACAGAGGCGAAAGAGGAGAAAGAAGGCGAAAGAGGAGAAAGAAGAGGAGAATGGGGGTGTTAACAGCCTATAACAAACAAGTAGTATTGAGCGCAGCTGTGCCGGGCCAGGTGGTGCTCAGAGCTTTCTCTGCTGCATCTTCCTGGCAGGGAGGGACCCATTCTACAGATGAGAAAACTGAGGCCCACCCAACTAGGAAGAGGCGGAGCTAGAAGAGAGCGCACGCAGACCCTCGTCTCCAGCCCAGCTCGTCGTGGCGGGCCAGGGGCTCAGAGGAGAGATCTGGTGGTTTTCTGGAGGAGTTGGCTTTAAGCCTCCAGCCTCCCAAGGGAGCGGGAGGAGAGGGGCACAGAGTGACTAGAGCCTGGACCGTGAAGGGTGGAGGCACCTTCATTTGTTCTGTAAATGTCTCTGGGGTGGCCCCTGGCTCAGGAGGGGGTCAGGGAGGATGAGGGGGAGGGGATGAGACAGTGGAGGCCTGAAATGCCAGGGGAGGGATCTGCCCAGGTCTCTGCACCCCTGTGCTCACCATGGCTTGTCCCATCCAAGGGACGTGCCCAGGCCGCAGGGCTGCTGCCCTGCCTGGATCCCCAGACCTAGCTCCCTACAACCCCCGTTTGGCCAGCCCAGCCTTTTGGGGTACCTGGGGCAGAGAACAGCCCTCCCCTGAGTGCATACTGTGGGCTGGGACTTCCAAACCTGCAGCCCCAGGGCCTGGCTCCTGCCTGGCTCCGTCACCTGCTGACCCGTCTATAAAACAGGGCTACAGTGCCCCCTCCCCCAAGGATTGCTGTTAGATTTAAATGAGGTATTGCGGGCGAGGGAGTTACATGGGGGCCCTTGTTATTTTTATCTCCCCACCTAGGTCCTGTCTCTGGCGGGGTGGCCAAGTCCCATTCACCCAAAGAGGAAGTGGAGGCCCAGAGAGGGTGAGAGACTCCCCAAAGAACACACAGCTAATCACAGCTTGGTAGGGCTCAGAGCCTTGGTCCCTGGCCCTCTTGCCACCCTTCCCCGTTCAGGGCCTGCTGCTTCCACAGCCCGCAGCTGTCTCTCCCCATTCTCTCTTGTATTCTCCCGGGGCTGGGGAAGGGGCTGCTTTTCCTTTTTTTTCTTTTTTTTCTTTTACATTTAAGTAAACCAGACCCAGGAGAGGAAGTGACCAACTAGGCAGGCCCCAGCCCAGCCCAGACAGCAGGCAGGGTGTCAGATGTTCACCCTCTCAGCGGGGCTCTGGCCTGTTCCTGTTCCCTCCGCCGCTCAATTTGTGAGCTAAGGAAACTGAGTCCCACAGAGGGGCAGGGGCCGGCCCTGGGCCCCAAGGGCAGTGGCCATGGAGCCCTGGCTTGTGGGCTGGGCGTCTACAGGGCCCAGGGAGGCCACCCTGGCGCTCCCCCTGCCCTGCGGGCAGCGATTAAGCAAAGGCCCGGCCAGGCCCTTCCTGCCCATTTCAGTTTCCACAGTTTCACTTTTGTTGGTTTCGACACCTGGAGGGCTCCTCCCTCGGCCCCTACCAGCTCTGCTGCTGCCGGACAGCCCGGGCCTCAGGGGAAGGTCCCGCTTCCTCAGCGCCCTCTGCCTGTCCTCTCTACCCTTCCTGAGTCCCAGAGGAGGCCCCCACCCCTCAGCGCCCACAGACTCGCAGGGAGGGAGGAGGGCCCTGGCTGCCTGTGGGGATGGGGCGGACCTCAGCCCTGCTGTTCCTGTCAAGGTTGCTCCCCAGGGTGGAAAGGCGAGGGCAGTCAGGTGGCCGGCGCTGGAGGTGGCCCTTGGCCTGGGGCCCCGAGGATGTGTAGGATCTCGGGTGAGGGCAGGTCACAGAGAGGGGACAGGAGGAGCAGGGGCCAGGTGTGAGAAGAGCCAGTGTCCCCAGGAGCCACTAGGGGTCGGGGGTAGGGGTCTCAGACGGGGCAGAGCCAGCTGGGAAGGAGCTTGACGTTGGACTGTGGGTCCAGCTGTAAGGTCAGCTCGCCGCTTACTTCCTGTGTGACCTCAGCACCCCGCTAAGCCATCCTGGGCCTCAGTCTCCCCATCTGTCAGATAGGGGTGGTAGCGGGACCTTGCAGGATCATGTGAACCCAGAATTCACACCTGGTGGGGAACTGCCTGGGACCCCACCCGCCTGAGCTCCCACCCCTGTCGGCCCCACAGGACCATGGGCTCCATGTTCCGGAGTGAGGAGGTGGCGCTCGTCCAGCTCTTCCTGCCCACAGCTGCTGCCTACGCCTGCGTGAGCCAGCTTGGGGAGCTGGGCCTTGTGGAGTTCAGAGATGTGAGTGGGGCCGGGGTGGGCGTGAGGGGAGGCCTCGTTCTTGGGTGTTCCATACGGTGGACCATCTCCCCCAGACTGACCCCCGGCCCTGCTTGAATCCCGGCAACCTCTGCCATATATACTTTGCTCTCAGGCCGGCTTTACTCGTGGCTGAGACCACCCTGTGCCAGCCCGGGTTCAGCCAGGCCTCCTGGGCCCTGCCTCGCCCTTCCCAGGCCACATGGGGTCTGGTGTGTCTTCAGCTGGGCATCTGGAGGGTCACAGCGTACTCAGCACCTTTCTGGGGGAGGCAGCTGTGGCCTGAGGAGAGCCGGGCCTGGGCCCTGGTGGGGGGACCTCCTTGGCCCTCTGCCTGGAAAACTGATCCCTCCGTTTGGCAACCACAGCTCAATGCCTCGGTGAGTGCCTTCCAGAGACGTTTCGTGGTAGATGTTCGTCGCTGTGAAGAGCTGGAGAAGACCTTCGGTGAGTTGGCCCTGGGCCCACACCCCAGGCATACTTCCTGGAGGAGGTGCCAGTCAAGCTTGGTCTGAAAGGAAGAGTCCGAGTTGCCCAGGCGGACGGCAGAGAAGGGAGGTCCGGGCCAGGCCCTGCAGAGCCAGGACGGGGCAGCTGGGATCTTTGGGGTGTTCTCGGGTGAGCTGAGCAGAGGGTCCAGGCCAGGCCCGGCTTGGAAGAGGCCTTGAATACCGAATGAGGGCTCGGGACTTCACCCTCTTGGCGCCAGGAGCCACCCATAGGTTCCTAAGCAGGAGAGAAGCATGGACAGAACTTTTTCTGCTGCAGATGGACTGGGATGGGCAGAGGCCAGGATCCTGGGTCAGGTGCCCCCAAGGAGCAGCTGCTTGGCCCTGGGCAAGAGGGACCCCTGCCCTGGGTTCTATTCTGGAAACGCCTCTTAGGAGGGTCCTGCAAGGTGGGAGGATAGAGCATGTCTGTTTAATGGTTAGATTGACTGATAGGTTTTAAGTCATCAGGCAGGTACCCTGTGGGCCTCCATGCAAGCTCTCATCCCCTGCAGTGCTAGGGCCACCTGCCCGAAGACCGCTATGGGACCCAGGCCAGGGGCTGGGGACGGAGAGCAGCCCAGGAGAGCCCCAGGGCGGGGGGAGGCGGAGAAGACCTGCAGGGATGGAGGTTTATCCTGAGGTTTTTCCGGGGTCTCAGACTCAGTGAATCAGTTAGCTGGTGGCCAGCAGAGTTTGGGGTGGCAGTTGGAATTCCCTAGATGTTAGCCATCCCTTGGCTAATAGTGGCCATTGGCTGGTGGTGGCTCCTGAGCCGGCTCCCTGATGCCCGTCCCTCTGCACCCAGCCTTCCTGCAGGAGGAGGTACGGCAGGCTGGGCTGACGCTGCCTCTGCCTGAGGGGGCGCTGCCGGCGCCCTTGCCCCGCGACCTTCTGCGCATCCAGGAGGAGACGGATCGCCTAGCACAGGAGCTCCAGGTCGTGCGGGGCAACCGGCAGGCCCTGCGGGCCCAGCTCCACCAGCTGCAGCTCCACTCGGCTGTACTGGGCCAGGGCCATGGCCCCTCGGTCAGCTCCGGCCCTGGCAGGGCGTGGGGAGGGGCGGGGGCCCCAGGCCCCACCTGGGCCGGGACTCATGGCGCCTCTTGGCTCCTAGTTGGCAGCCAGCCACACAGATGGGCCCCTGGAAAGAACACCCCTGCTCCAGTCCCCCGGGGGGCCGCACCAGGACCTGAGGGTCAAGTAAGTGAGGGGCAGCTTCGCTCTCTTTCCGGTTGGTGCAGGGGTGAGGCAGGCCAGCTCGGACTTCTTGTCCAGGGCCCTCGTGCAGCTGCCCTCAGGCCTGGACTTCCCTTTGCCCCTGGGGGTCTCTTCTGGCCCTGCCTGGCGGGCTCCTGCCTCCTCTGTGCGGACGGGGGCAGTGTGCCTGGCCCGGGTGAGGGGGGGGAGGCCGGAGCAGCCCCTGCCCAGCCCCGCCCGTCCCTGCAGCTTCGTAGCAGGTGCCGTGGAGCCCCACAAGGCCGCCGCCCTGGAGCGCCTGCTCTGGAGGGCCTGCCACGGCTTCCTCATCGCCAGCTTCAGGGACGTGGAGCAGCCGCTGGAGGGGCCCGTGACGGTGAGCGGGCCGGGCGCGCAGGCTGGGGTGCGTGCTGGGTGGAGCCGGGACTGCAGGGTGATGTGCGCCCCGCTCCGGCAGGGTGAGCCTGCGACGTGGGTGACCTTCCTCATCTCCTACTGGGGAGAGCAGATCGGGCAGAAGATTCGCAAGATCACTGACTGGTGAGCCCCCGTCGGGTGGGGGGCTGGCCCCCCGCTGCCCTCGTGCCCGGGCCCCTGCGTGTCACCTCCACCGAGCCCGCTCTGTCTGCCACACTGCCCTGTGGGCTCCCTTTCGACTCAGCCTCTGCAAGCCCTGGACCCTGTGCCCACCTCACCTCCCCCCTCCTCCCTGCCAGCTTCCACTGCCACGTCTTCCCATTTGTGGAGCAGGAGGAGGCCCGCCGCGCAGCCCTGCAGCAGCTGCAGCAGCAGAGCCAAGAGCTGCAGGAGGTGGGCGCCCGTGGCCTGGCTGTAGCCCTGCCTTCCCCCCGCCCCTCCCCTCCTGACACCCCTCCCCCTCCCCGCCCCTCCCCTCCTGACACCCCTCCCCACCCCTCCCCTCCTGACACCCCTCCCCCTCCCCGCCCCTCCTCCCCCTGCCACTCCTCCTGACCCCCTGCTCTGGTCGCAGGTCCTGGGTGAGACGGAGCACTTCCTGAGCCAGGTGCTGGGCCGGGTGCAGAGACTGTTGCCGCCCTGGCAGGTGCAGATCCGCAAGATGAAGGCCGTGTACCTGGCCCTCAACCAGTGCAGCGTGAGCACCACGCACAAGTGCCTCATCGCCGAGGCCTGGTGTGCCACGCGCGACCTGCCCACCCTGCAGCAGGCGCTGCAGGGCAGCTCGGTGAGCATGGGGGGTGGTCTCCCGCCCTCCCCTACTGCCAGGCAGGGGCTGGTTTCCTCCACACAACACATGTCCCATTCCCGGTGCCATCAGCGCCGTGCCTTTGCCGGGGCTCATCCTCCTCCAGGGAGTCCACCGTGATGGCCCTGGCCCAGCAAGCCCTCTTCCTGCCCTGACTTCCCAGAGGCCCTGGGATGGGCCGTCACACCCTGGAAGCTGCACTGGGTGTTAAGTTAGAAACCGGGTTCAAATCCAGGCTCTGCAGGTACTGGCCCTGTGACCTTGGGCCAACTGGAGGGAGCCTTGGGCTCATCTGTGAAATGGGGTTGCTGACCCTGCTTCCAGGGGTCGCCGTGCTAGGTGCTCACCTGTGGCCATGGGGCTCCCTCTCCTGGGCCACCTGGATGGGAAGAAGCACGCTTCTGTTTCCCGAGTGACTTTTGGGCCAATCTCTGGCCCTCCCTGAATCCCCCTGAACTGGGGCAGGTGGGGCTGGTCATGCTATTTCACAGGGAGAGGAGGGGCTGCCCTGGGTCCCCTGGCTCCCATCCAGCGAGTCCCCACAGTGTTCTCCATCTCTAGCTGGCCGTGGCTGGAGGGTCCGAGCGTCCCTGAAAGCCCCTGCCATCAGTCTTGTCTGTCTGTCTGCCTGCCGGGTGCCCCAGAGCGAGGCGGGTGTGAGCGCCGTGGTTCACCGCATCCCCTGCCGGGACATGCCCCCCACACTCATCCGTACCAACCGCTTCACGGCCAGCTTCCAGGGCATCGTGGACGCCTATGGTGTGGGCCGCTACCAGGAGGTCAACCCCGGTGAGAGGCACCACGTCCCCAGCCCCGGCCTTCGGGAGGCTCAGCTGCTGCCCTGGGTGGAAGCATGGGAGGGCTGCGTCGCCACCTGGGCCTGTCCCGCCCTCCTGAGGTGAGGGGCGCACTCCTGGTCATGTTCTTGGGGGCCCAGTGGAGGCACTTCACGTTTATCCCCCGCAGACACCCCCACTGCCCTGCTGTTAAGCTAACAGGGGAACCGGCAGAGTTGTGCAAAGGATAGCAGCTTTGCAGTAGGAATGGACCAGGTTGGAGGTCCTGCTCACTTACTTTGATGAGTTTCTTAGCTTCTCTGAGCCTCAGTTTCCTCATCTATAAAATGGGGATGACGGTACATACCTGAGCGGTGTTGGGAAGATTAATGATCGCCAAAGGCTGCAAACCAGTGGTCCACGAGGCCAGCATCAGTCTGCAGACGTGTTTTGCTTGGCCACGTTGTCTGGCCACGTTGAAAGGTTTGAATTGGGTGCAGCCCCAGGTCAGGTTCTCCCAGAAGCAGACCCCGAGATGGGGTCTCTGATGCAAGTGGCGTATTAAGAGAGGTGTTCCTGGGAGAAACCAGTAAGGGACCTCAGGGGACGGGGAAGCAGGCAGGAAGGGGAGAGCTGAGTAGGGCCAGTCTCAGGTGAAGCCCAGCCTCAGCCTGAGCCTGCAGGGAGCTCTAGAGCACGAAGGACACTATGGTGTGTCCACCTCAAGGCTGATGAGCAGGGCTTTCAAACCCAGCGCCCTCAGTCGTCTGCCAGCCCTCGCGGGTGGGCAGTGAGGCCGTCAGCTCCAGGCACGTCCACCTGGGTGCTCACTGGCCTGGCGAGGCTGCTGCTCTCTAAGTGGCCCACTGGGCAGAGGGTTGCACAGAGCTGCCAAGGGAGCTGCGGCCGCCTGGGCAGAGCCTCAGTGTCTGCTGCGGGTGCCAGGGTTTAAAGTGGGAGTTTTCGCAAAAGTCTGCATTTTCTCAAGACTGGCGAAAAGTGAGAGATTTGGCGACATGGCCCACCTCCAACAGGCTGGAGCTGGGTTGTGGCAGCCCCCTCCCGTTTGCCAGTGCCCGTCCCGAGGGCAGCAGGCACTGGCTTTCCTCCCTTCCTGGCCCCCTCCTCCTTCCTGAGGCCTGTGGGACCTGGCCTGTCATCCGCCAGGTTCTTCTCCCTCCAGATACCACCCTCCCTGCAGAAGGCTGGCTGCGGTGTGGCCAGTGGCCCAGCATCCCCCGTGTCACGGGGTAGGGGCTGCAGTGCATCTCTGTGTGAGCCCAAAGAATGGGTGTGAGGGTGAACCGTGATGAGGTCCCTTATGGGAGGCCAGGGAGGGGTCCTGCCTCATCCAGTGGGCAAGAGGCAGGGTTTGGGATCCCCGGGGCAGTACAGGCAGCACATGAGGATGGAATCCAGGGCCGTGTGGACTGAGACCAGGGTCACGTGGTCCTCTGGGGCCTGCTGACCCTGCAGGACCAGCATCTGGGAGCTTGACGTGGGGCCCCCAGCCCATTTCACCTGCCCGTAGTCCCTCTGCGTTAGCGGATGCCAGTCTGGTTAGAACAGGCCTGATCACCAGATATCCACGGTTGGTAATATGCCACCAGCTCTCAAAGCAGTGGCTTTGCGGAGTATTCGTTTCCTAGGGCTGCTGTAACAAAGCCTCATGGATGGTGCGGCTGCAATGATAGGTATTTATCGTCACTCAGTTCTGGAGGCTGGAAGTCTGAGATCAAGGTGTCGGCAGGGCTGGTTCCTTCTGAGAGCTGTGAGGGAGAATGTGTTCAGGCCTCTCTCCTTGGCTTGCAGACAGCTGTCTTCATGTTCGTATGGCATTCTCCCAGTGTATGTGTCTAAGGTCTAAATTTCCCCCTTTTTATAGGGACACCAGTTATGTTTGATTAGGACCCACCCTAATGACCTCATTTTCACTGGGTTACAGCTGTAAAGGTTGTATCTCCAAAGAAGGTCCCTGTCTAAGGTACTGGGGGTTAGGACTCCAACATATCTTTTGCTGGGGTGGGGGACACAATTCAACCCATAACTGGGATGTGCGTTAGAATCCTAACACCTATGAGAAAATGTCCCCATTTTACTAAAGGGAAGCTGAGGCCCCAGAGGTTAAGTGACCAACTCGGCCTTCTGGAACTTGCCATGTGCCAGCCAGGACTACCACTGGGCTCTCTGTGCTTCTGCTTTGAGCTCTTCTCATAAATAATAATAGCTAGAACTGCTAACGTTATATTTATGGTCTCCCAGGTACTGTCCATGGATAAAGTCATTTATAACAGTCCTATAAAGTGGTGGTATTTTTATCTCCATTTTGCAGATGGGGAATGGAGGTTCAGAGAGGTTAAGATACTAGCCCAAGGTTGCACAGCTAGTAAGTGCCTGGATCTTGAGTGCAGGCAGGCGGTGTGGCATCCCTGCCTGGCTACACCACCTTCATGTCTCCTGGGGCCCCGGAGCCTGGCTTGGGGAGCCTGTGTGGCATCCTGTACAGGGATGGGGGTCCTGGCTGACCGCGTGGCCCCTCTGCCCGCAGCACCCTACACCATCATCACCTTCCCCTTTCTCTTCGCCGTCATGTTCGGTGACGTGGGCCACGGGCTGCTCATGTTTCTCTTCGCCCTGGCCATGGTGCTGGCCGAGAACCGGCCAGCCGTGAAGACGGCGCAGAACGAGGTGAGGGGCGACAGGGTGGGTGGTACGGGGCGGAGAGGGGGGGGGGGCTCCGGGCACAGCAGGGGGCCCAGGCCGGCTCTCGCCACGCCTCTCTGCACCCCCAGATCTGGAGGACCTTCTTTGAGGGCCGCTACCTGCTCCTGCTCATGGGCCTGTTCTCCGTCTACACCGGCTTCATCTACAACGAGTGCTTCAGCTGCGCCACGGCTGTCTTCCCCTCGGGCTGGAGCGTGGCGGCCATGGCCAACCAGTCGGGCTGGAGGTGAGGCCCGGCCGTGCCCGCCCCGCAGCCCTGAGGCCCCCGGGCCCCTGACCAGCCCGCCTGCTCTTGTCACAGTGACGCCTTCCTGGCCCAGCAGCCGCTGCTCTCCCTGGACCCCAATGTCACCGGCGTCTTCCTGGGACCGTACCCCTTTGGCATCGACCCGGTGAGTCCCGGCCGCCTGTCGGAGGCGGTGGCGGGCAGGAGGGCGGGTCCGGGGCTCCCCGCTCGCCCAGCCCCTCCCAAGCACCAGGCCCAGTTCCGGGTACAGGAGGCAGGAGCCCCCCTAGACCAGGGCCTGCGTGGCAGGGGGGCCTGCACTGCAGCCACTTGAAAAGCAGAGAAGCGAGTCCCAATGAGGGCAGCGTTCTGTAGTCCCCTCTGTGCCAGGCAGGCACCGTTCTGAGCCCTTGTTGAATTGACTTGATGTCTAGTGCTCGTGACAGCTCCATGGGAGCACGTCAGTACCGTCCCCATTTTACAGGTGAGGAAGCTGAGGTTACACGCCCAAGGTCACCCAGCTAGGAAGAACTGGGGTTGGGGCCCAGGCTGCCCGGCCCAGTCTGTGCTCTTAACTGTTCCCCTCTGCTGCCCCTTGTCGGGCAGGTGACGGGTTGTGCAGAGGCCCTGGAGGGGCAGACAGGCCGATGGGAGTGACTCGGGTGGAGAGGCCCCTTCACGACACCCATCCCTCCTGCCACCACAGGTCTGGAGCCTGGCTGTCAACCACCTGAGCTTCCTCAACTCCTTCAAGATGAAGATGTCTGTCATCCTGGGGGTCACCCACATGACCTTCGGGGTGGTCCTGGGAGTCTTCAACCACATGTGAGGACCGGGGCCTTGGGGTGGGGGCCAGGCAGGGCCAGGGCGACCTGGTGACCCGGCTCCCCTCCTGCCCCAGGCACTTCGGCCAGTGGCACCGGCTGCTGCTGGAGACCCTCCCCGAGCTGGTCTTCCTGCTGGGGCTGTTCGGCTACCTCGTCTTCCTGGTCGCCTACAAGTGGCTGCGAGTCACGGCCGCCAGCGCGGCCTCGGCCCCCAGCATCCTCATCCACTTCATCAACATGTTCCTCTTCTCCAGCAGCCCCACAAACCGGCCACTTTTCTCCGGGCAGGTAGGCTGGGGCGGGGGTGGGGGTGGGGCGGCGGGGGTGGGGGGCTCACACTCCGCCCTGGGGCCCCCTGGTGGCTGGGCCTCTCAGCTGCAGGATCCTCTTCCGAGAAGTGGGATGCAGGCCTGAGGCCGTGAGACAGGGAGGTCAAGGGGGCCTCCCTGGGAGCTCCCAGCAGGGGTGGTGGCTTCTATGCCCAGAGGAATTCCACACGGGGCGAAGTCCCTGCCTGGTGAGGGGCCCTGGGCTGGAGTGGGCTGCGGGCTCCCCGGGCCCCTGGGGAATCGCGTGGCCCGAGCTGGCCGGTGGCTCGCAGGGGCGCCCTGACCATCGCCCCCTCCTCCCCTGCAGGAAGTGGTGCAGCCCACGCTGGTGGTCCTGGCCCTGGCCATGGTGCCCGTCCTGCTGCTTGGCACGCCCTTGTTCCTGCACCGGGAGCACCGCCGCTGCCACTCTCGGAGGAGGCAACAGCCGGTAGAGGTAGGGGAGCCTGGGGGTGGGGTCCTGTCCGGGACGTGAGCCCCATCTGGGGCTGGGGGTCTGTGATGCCGCTGCACCACCTCTAGGATAAGGACACAGCCGGGCTTCTGGACCTGCCTGACACGTCCCTGGCCAGCCAGGGCTCTGATGAGGAGAAGGCAGGATGCCCAGGGGACCAGGCGGAGGCCGAGGTGGGTATGGTGCCTTCCTGAGTAGGGGATGGCTTCGGCCCCACCTGCCCCTCACTGCCACCTGTCCCCCCAGTTTGTCCTGTCCGAGGTGTTCATGCACCAAGCCATCCACACCATCGAGTTCTGCCTGGGCTGCATCTCCAACACGGCCTCCTACCTGCGCCTTTGGGCCCTGAGCTTGGCCCACGCCCGTGAGTCCTGCTCCTTCCCACACCCGGCTGCTGGATGCGTGGCCCCCTCTGGTCGCTTCTTTTTTTTTTTTTTTGCGGTACGTGGGCCTCTCACGGTTGTGGCCTCTCCCGTTGCGGAGCACAGGCTCCGGACACGCAGGCCCAGCGGCCATGGCTCACGGGCCCAGCCGCTCCGCGGCATGTGGGATCTTCCCGGACCGGGGCATGAACCTGTGTCCCCTGCATCGGCAGGCGGACCCTCAACCACTGCGCCACCAGGGAAGCCCTGGTCGCTTCTTAGTATCCCTGTCTGTAAAGGGGGGACGTCGGAGGAGGTCCCCCGCTGGCCCACAGGGAGGGTGGGCTTCGGGACGCCAAGGTGGCTTGGTGGTCCCCACGGTTCCCTCCTCCACCTGCAGAGCTGTCACAGGTCCTGTGGGCCATGGTGATGCGAGCCGGCCTGAGCCTGGGCGGCGAGATGGGTGTGGCGGCTGTGGTGCTGGTCCCCGTCTTCGCCGCCTTCGCCGTGATGACTGTGGCCATCCTGCTGGTGATGGAGGGGCTCTCGGCCTTCCTGCACGCGCTGCGGCTGCACTGGTGAGTGGCCGCCTGGCTGGTGTGGGCAGCATGGTGGGGAGGGGGCGGGGGGGGCGGGGGGGCGTCCCCTCACCCGCTCTCCCTTCTCACCCCAGGGTGGAGTTCCAGAACAAGTTCTACTCGGGTACTGGCTACAAGCTGAGCCCCTTCACCTTCGCCGTGGAGGGTGAATAGTGCCCACAGCCCTGCCCTTGCCTTGCTGAGCAGGGAAGAAATAAAGGGGAAGGCCCAGGGCCCGTGTCTTGGTCTTGTCTGGGAGGCAGGGGCTGGGGCTGCTGGGTGTGGAGGAGCCTGGCATGTCCTGGCTGGTCCTGCCCCTGGGAGCCTTTTGGTTGGATGGACACCACGCCAGCCTCTGTGCCCGTCTCCCTTATGTCTGTCTCTGCAGCTGAAGTTGGTGGGGGGTGGGGGGAGGTGGGAGCCACTGGTCTACGACCTGGGGCCTCAGGATGTCAGGATAGGACCCATGAGCACATCTGCAACGATCCCAGTCTCTTGGGGTGAAGGGGGGCAGAACTAGGCCCAGGGAGGGCTGTTTCCAGTACATTCTAGCTCAGAAAGATTGTCCTCCCAGGCTGGGCCAGGGGGAGTGAGCTCCCCATCCTTGGGGGATATGCAAACTGGCTGTACGATGATGTCTGGGCTACCCTGGGTATGGAGGGGGGTGCCTGGCACCAGTTGGCCAATATTCTCACGTGCCTGTGCTGGCGCTGGCCCCCGGCACTCAAGATGCTCTGCAGCAGAGAGCAGCCTGGGACACCTGAGCCGGACCCGGCGCTCCACATGGGACAGTGGTGTCACACCCAAGGCCAGCTTCCCGCAGACAAGGGCAGAGGCTCGTCCAGGGCACCCTGAGAATTGCCCAGGGCTCCGAAGGTCAGAAAAGGGCAGAGCCGGACTCCAGGCCCTGCCTCCCCAGAGGCCACAGTCTTCCCCCATCCCTCCCTGGTGGGCAGTCCTGCTGCCAGGCCATCCTTCCGCTGGGGGGAGGGTGGTGGCATCCTCGGGCCTCTCTGGTCTGGGTCCCACCCCCAGCTGGGTGGCAGAGCCAGTGCTTCCCAGAGGCCTCGTTTTCTCCTGCTGAGGAGCTGCCAAGTAGTTCTTCCGGCTGGAGGTCCTGGGAACAAAGGCTGCCTTGAAGGCAGAGACGCCCTGGGCGCGGCGAGCCGGGAGGCCTGGCCCCATAACCTGGCCCCGTCACCGTGGCTCTCAGTCTGGCCAGTTGCCGGGAGGAGCCTGTCCCTCCAGAGCCCAGGGCTGCCCCGCTCAGGGCCCCCAGATGCTGGGCTGGGGTATGAGGGGCTGTCTGGCTGCAGTATGACACGCCTGGCAGAGACTTGGCTCCAGGAAACGTTGAGAGCAGTGTCTGGTTAGGAACAGAGGGGGTGGTGTGCGTCTCAGGATCTGGCCCAAGCCCAGGACTCCAAGCTCTACCTTCCTGGGGAGGTATGCAGAGCTATGCAGAGACTCGCAGGGTGGGGCAGGTGAGGGGAACCCTAAGCAGGGGCTCAGCGCCGAGAATGTGGCATGTTTCGGGGGTGGGTGGCAGGTGTGACCCCAGGGAGACACTAGCTGGCCCTGCCCTGGCTTTGACGCGTGGACAGCCTGGCTGGAGAAGGCTGGCTGCTGGGGAACCAGCATGCGCAAAGGCACTGGAGGGGGCGCCCCTGGGGCGTGGGGGGTCACATCAGGAGACACAGAGATGGGGGGGGTCACCTGCACTGGGGACAGGCCTGCTCGGGCAAGTGTAATCCAGGAGGATGACTGAGCGAACAGATGGGCATCCCAGGAATTCCACATACAGAGAATGCAAGTGATAGCCAGCGAGTGGATGTGAGGGAGACTGACCCCAAAGCCACCTGGCAGAGGAAAAGTGCGAGAGGGCCTGGTATCTTAGGGACGAGAGAGGCTGGGGGCAGGGGGCCGGCAAGGCCGGTCGGACCCTGTGGGCCCAGGCAGGAGCTGGGAGCTGTGTCCTAAGATCTCACACACAGGGCAGCAGCATCTAGGGCTGTTGGGTTTTTTAAAAGAACTTTATTTTTGGCTGCACTGGGTCTTCGTTGCTGCACGCGGGCTTTCTCTAGTTGCGGTGAGCGGGGGCTACTCTTCTTTGCGGTGCGGGGGGTTCTCACTGCGGGGGCTTCTCTTGTTGTGCAGCATGGGTTCTAGGCGCGCAGGCTTCAGTAGTTGTGGCACGCAGGCTCAGTATTTGTGGCTCGCGGGCTCTAGAGCGCAGGCTCAGTAGTTGTGGCGCACGGGTTTAGCTGCTCCGTGGCATGTGGGATCTTCCCAGACCAGGGCTCGAACCTGTGTCCCCTGCACTGGCAGGCGGATTCTTAACCACTGTGCCACCAGGGACGCCCCTAGGACTGTTTTATTGCTTGGATATCGTAACACACTCACCTGGTTAAAACTTTCGGTGTCTAGCAGGCCGGGCAGCGGAAGTCCCCCTCCTGCCCTGACCCAGCCGCTCAGTTCCCTCCTGGACAGCCCGGTGCTCCCCCCTCCCTCCCGCCCAAGGGCTTCGCCTCCGGAGCTGGGTGGACGCACTGGAGACCTCCCCGAGACTAGGGATGCATCCGAGGGTGACAACAGAGGATGAGCTTTTATGTTTTTTATTGTTTGTATAGTACAGTCTTTGTGGTAGCAGGAATGTATGCACAAAAAACAATTCAAATAAGAGTTCAGAGTGAAAAAAAAAATTTATCCCAAAGGATTTTTAATACATATGGATTTCACAGCTATACTCTATCCCCGCCCCCATACTCCACATACAGGCTGCGGTTTCCCATCAGAACGACCACATGAGGTACACTGGGGAGCAGTGAGGGCAAGGTTTCCCTCCCGCACCCAGCACACCGAGGCCCCAGCACCAGGGCGACAGGAGGCTTCCCTGGGGCATGACCATGCCTGGGGGCGGGCAGCTGGCCCTGTCACAAGAGCCCAGCTCCAGGCTGAGCAGAGGTGGAGGGGAAAAGGCTGCAGAGTGTGGGACAAAGCAGCCCGCTCCCTACCAGGAAAGCGGATTGGGCAGTGGGGGTGCCGGGGTGGGCATGTGTGTCCACGTGTCCCCGTGCAGCCTGCTGGCCCTCTGTGGCCACGGCCCACTGCCTGCCCCAGAGCCGGGGTTAATAAAGCACTTTCAGTTAGAAGGCATGGCGGGGCTGCATCCAGTTAGGGTGAGATTCATCTGAGATTCATCTGCAGAGGAAAACACAGATGACAGGCAGCAGTCAGCGGGCAGCCACAGTCATCCCCGCCTCTGTGCACCTCGGGGGCGGTCTGCATCTCCCAGGACCCCGGTCAGGCCACGGGGCATCGGCAGTGTCGCTGCCCACTCGCCGCCCTACACACCCGTTACCTACAGAAAGCCCGGTCGGCACTGTTCACCAGCGCGGTCATTAACATCCTTTAAAGATCAACATTAACCAAAAGGCACCTGCAGTGACACTGCTTACTCTTGCTGTCTGCCCCACCTGACTGAAGTAGAAAATGCCTTCTCTAGATTAAGGGGGTCTGAGATGTTGCACTATTGCACTAGTGTACTATAATTCTGCTTCCTGATCTCATGTCAGAGTCCTAGAGAAATCGTAAACAAGATATGAAATAAATGTTCCTCAATTTTAATACAGTCTTTCGTATCATACACATCTGTGTTCGGCAGCGAGACGTCCGAGCCTTCTTGCTGCAGATACAGTAGTCGGAGCACAGAGGGAGCCTCGGGCTCGGCCGCCCCCGCGCAGTCCAGGGATGCAGCACAGGCAGGCCTCCCCAGTCACACCCCAAGCTTCCTCTTCTGGTCGAAATAGGCATCGAACCTGGCCTGGGCATACTCCTAGGAGACAGAAGGAAGAGGGGCCTCACCAAGGGTCCCGCCCGCCCCCCGGCACAGAGCAGAGCAGCTCCGTGTGCTGCAGGCCATCCAGGAGCAGCGCTGCTCTCAGGACGGTCCTCTCCCGCTGGCAGCAGCCCCGGTCACCGCCTTCCCTTTACCCTCAACGTTCCCCACTCGATCAGCTGCGCCGGCCCGGCCCTGCCATCCCAGACAGGAGACGGGACTTCTGTCTATGTATCTGGTGCAGCATGGTTCACCGACTCATTCACCTTGAACGCTACAGACGCGGACTGACGGACACAACAGAGGCTTCTCTGTCAAAGCCCAAGGTCCCTGGGGCGTTAGCAAGGGTAGACAGACGGTAGGTGCCACCTGTTTGCTGCAGCACCATTACTAAAAGGACACCAGGAGGGAAGTGAGAAAACCTGGCCAGCCACCGGGCCCCTGGGTCCCTTGCCCTGTCTACCCACCGGTGTGCAGAACACAGTCTCTCAAGGGCCACTCCAAATCGAAAAGTCTGCAGTGCTAACTGCCAAGATCACAGCACCACTTCAAAAAAAATTAACGTTGAGGTATAATTTATATACCACAAAGCTTAACTCATTTAAAACGTGCAGTGTTCGCTAATGCACACACCTAGCTCAACGCCAACACCACAATCACCCTCAAGGTCCTCCTGGGTCTCTGTAGTCAAGCCCACCAGATCGCGACAGAAAGCTTCCACGTGAGTGTGTAATCGTCCGCTACGTCCCCTCTGGTGTCTGGCTTGTGACTAAGACACATCCACGCTGCCGTGGGCGGCAGTGTTCGTGGCTGAGTAGTTTTCTGTGATATGGCTCCAACACAGTGTGTTCACCCAGTCATCTGCTGATGGGCATGTAGGTTGTTTCCAGTTTGGCGCTACTGAAAATAAAGCTGCTGTGAGCACTTGAATACAAGTCTTGGCGTGGAAACAGGCTTTCATTTCTCTTGGATCAATACCAAAGAGAGGGACTGCTGGGTTGTATGGTAAGTGTAGGGTTTTTTTTTGTTTTCTTTTCTTTTTAACTTTTAATTTTATTGAAGTACAGTTGATTTAAATTTACTTATTTTGGAGGCTGCTTTGGGTCTTTGCTGCTGTGCACGGGCTTTCTCTAGTTACAGCGAGCAGGGCCTACTCTTCATTGCGGCATGCGGGCTTCTCATTGCGGTTGCTTCTCTTGTTGTGGAGCACGGGCTCTAGGTGTGCGGGCTTCAGTAGCTGTGGCACGTGGGCTCAGTAGTTGTGGTGCATGGGCTTAGTTGCTCCGTGGCACGTGGGATGTTCCCAGATCAGGGATTGAACCCGTATCCCCTGCGTTGGCAGGCGGATTCTTAACCACTGTGCCACCAGGGAGGTCCCGGTAAGTGTATGTTTGA